AAAAAAAAAAAACGGAAAAAAAAAACCCTCCACTCAAACTGATCCATCCCAGTGGAAGAAGGATACATTCTATACAAAGAGCAATGACTTCTTTTTTTCCCCCTCTTCAATCTCATGAAATCCCTCAGGTTCAGAACTATTGAAGTGCTGCTATAAATTCTTAAAGTCTCACAGGCAGAAATGAAACAAGGCCAGAAGCTGTAGCCTCTGCTCTGCCAAAGCCCCCGACCTCATGCCCACTGCTTGATCTGAAATCCTGAGAGGAGGCCAGGTGATGACTGAAGTGGCCTCAGAATTATTGATGAGACAGAGACAGTGTGGTGTTCGAGTAAATCCACAGAAAATTGGGCAGGAAGGAAAAAAAAATCACACATGAAGGCAGTAAATGTGTTGTTTATAACGATACCAGAAATTAGCTCCACTGTCACTCAGAAGCCTTCTTACCCTTGAGAAACAACTTAAAGGACAGAGATTTAGTTGTGATAACTGTACTATTATTGCAATTGCAATATACAGATTTTGAAATAACACAAAGTTTAAAAAAAGCATGCAAAAAAAAAACCCCATCAACTAACGTTTTGGCTTGGTGTACATCTGGGTCACCTCACTGGGTGTTGTGAGGTTTGCCTATTAGTACTGTTAATGTAAAAGGTAGAACAAAGGTTTGAGTTTCACACTGTTTTTCCACCACCAGTGGCCAATTTCCTGATGTGAGATAGAGTCTGTGATGATCTACAAGCCACGATAGAGAACAACATGGAAGTAAAGGCCAAAACAAGTGGTGACAGAGATAATTGTCATCTTCAGAGCTTCATCTTCTGGTCCGAATCAATTTCTAGTTCGTTTTGTTGTGTTTCACTTGATTGATTTCCTCACTTGTTGCCCTCTCATCATCTGCTGTCTTTGCCTCAGTCTTTACATGCCACCATAGAGGTCATACATATGATATATAAATCCACTCTAACAAATTTACACTGTGCAAAGTCCATAGCTGCAGCAGATGACATGCCGTAATGGCTTGTGCATAACTGAATCGGGTAATTGGTTCACTACGACTCTCCTTGTTCTTCATGTTGCAACACAAACATATTTTGGATAATGTCTGAATGAAAGTTAAATCTGTCCATTCTAGTTTACCCCTGGTCAAGTTCATGACCTGTTACCAGGTGTCTTTTATTGTAGATTCATCTGAAAACCTGGTGCTATTCTCGACACATGGTTTAGACTTTTCCTGCAGCCATGAAGAATAAAACTAAACCTCAATGAAACTAAATAATGGTACCTCTTTGTGTGTTAGAAATATCAAAGCTGCTTTTTAGATTGATTCCTCCCGAGTCAGGTGCATAGACTGCAGACACTTGTTTGATTTGCATTGAATTAACAAAACAACTGTTAAAGTTCAACTTCTTTTTTTTATATAAAGCAAACTGCATTTTATGTTTAACTGATTTTTAATTTTGCCTTTTTAAAAATGGAAAAATGGCATAATAACTATCTTTAAAGCATTTGAAACTGAGATTAGCCTTAGATTTTACATGAGTTATTAATAAATATTACCTTATTTTCTGTTTGTGTCTCATCTTTAGGGTCTGGTGATTGAGCAGATTGGGAGAAGACCCCTCCTTATATTTGGTTTCTCCTCCATGGCTGTATTCTTCAGCCTGCTGACAATTTTCCTCAACTTCCAGGTGAGCCGATTTTCCTACTCTGCAAGCTAAATTGTATCTGAAGTATAATTACAGCAAACACGCAATTCTTATTGTTACCATCAAGATGCTAATGGAAACAAGGTTTCCCTCTGTGAAAAACCTGGAGTTTGTACAGATCCTTAAAAACATATATATATATATAATTTTTTTTTTTTTATCTCTTAAGAAATTTCACACTTTGTCACATTAAAACCATTGACTTCAATAATTTTTTTATTGGAATTTTATGTGATATCCACAAAAAGAAGATGATAGCTGTGAAGCAAAGTAAAATTTACATAATATAATTTGAGGCTTTGTTAGAGAATACTGATGATCACCACAAAGGACGATGACAAAACCAAGCTTACAGAACCATTGACATATAAATCTGTATATCCAAATTTAATTATTCAAATTATCTGAGTTATAAAAAGTGAGGTTCTGGTCAGCCCATCTGAGTCAATGTTTTCCAGAACTTCCTTTCTTTGGCAATTAAGCATTTTGGGGTTTGTTTCTACCAGCTTTGCACATTTTTCTTTAATATAGGTCAAGATCGATAGAGTATCTGTGAACATCAATTTAAAGTCTTGCCACAGATTTCCAATTAGATGTGAATCTAGACTTTGACTACGCCATTATACCACACCAATGTGTTTCAAACAGATGCTTGTTTTGGGGTCATTGATCTGCTGGACCATTAATCGCTGCTTCAGTTGAAACCATTTGCTGCCTCAAAACTGGTTTTCTTCCAGGATCAGCTTGGGTTTATGTCCAATCACCTTCACATTGACTCTTGAGTTTCCCTGTTCTTACTAGGGGGAAGTTTCCCCAAAGCATGATGTTTTCTGCATTGCATCAGAGGATCTTATTCGACATTAAGCATGTACATTGTGTCGTTCCAGGACAGTGTTTCATGGATGCCGTACCTCAGTTACATCTGCATACTGGCCGTCATCGCAGGCTTTTGCTCGGGACCAGGTAAAACCACCTCTTTCCTTCAAACTACTCTGACATAATAAACTGCGTAAGTATTGTGCAGATCTGAACGAGTGGGCCGATTTAATTTTTTTTCTACAGTTATTCTGTGCTGATGGTTAATCAAGTAGGGCTTTCCCATCTGTGGTCCTGAATAATCAGCTAACTATGCCGCAGTGAAAGATGTTGATCCTATATTTGCATACTAAACAGGACCTGTACTGCGTTGTATATGCATGACGCTGCAGATACAAGAATATGAGAGCGTGAGGGTCTTGGTGAGAGGTTGACTTTTTGTGTCAAGGTGAAGCCTTCACTGTAATAATCATGTCTCCTGGGAACGTTTGTCCAGCAAAGTGCCTGTAGAATGAGAGGGAAGAGTCTTCCTGTTCATTACGTATGGATTTGGAGGTGAAGCTCATTAGATCATGTCCTTTAGTCAAATAAGGGAAAGAGAGGAAGCTCAGAAAGGTAAGATGTCTTGCAAAACCTTCAGCTGCAGGCACCACACGCCGCCGCTGTACTCTGGAAAAACTTTGTGGTCGCCAGAGTGTTGCTAAAGTGCACTACTGTGGTGATCATTGAGAAAGATTGCTGTGTAGCGCACAGATAATTTATAGCCCCTTGAAATGAGTAAAACTTCTTACTGGGAGAGAAGAGGAGACGTATTCACAAGAGGGAAAGCCCCAGTTGTCCTCCGAGCGTTTGAGTGGATAAATGAGGAGCCACTCTCACCTCTGAATTGGCCCCAGCTTGTGGCCCAGATATCTCACTAATGCTCTGAAACATGAAGTTAGTTTCTTTCTGTGAGAAAAAAGTGTGGATTTTTTTCTTTAGTACAGCAAAGGCAAAGGCTATGGTCACAACTTTTTTTTTTAAGTTCTTACCTATCTATACATCGCTCTCTGTCTCCAACTCTCTTTCACTGATTTTCAAAGAGTTTTTTTTTCTTTTTTTTTTTAATTCTGCTTTTCTATAATGAACCCATCTATTATCTATGACCTACTTCGATATGCTCACAGATTTGTGGCTGCGTTATGCCACATGTGGGGTTTTCTACTGAACCGATCTTTACATTTTCTCTTTGCTACTTGAAGCTCGCTGCTTTTTCTTTTGTTGGAAATTGACATTTCCAGTAAGTATGCATTTTCTTCCTGGGGTTTACAGAAATGTTACAGAGCAGAGTCCAGTTGCTGATATTCTGTATCACATTCAGTGAATTTTATGCTGCGCTATCCTCTATTTAGAGATGGAATTAAGCCATTTCTAAAAGTGTTTTTTTATTTTTTTTATTTGATTTGATTTAAACATAAACTCCCCATTATCACGTTCATGTGCTGCTCTGACAAAGTATTTACAGCATCAAAATGAGAGGTGGTTTATAGCTGAAAACCCTTTAATGTGGCTAAATTATAAGAAGGTTGAAGTAAAAGTGGGCCAAAATTACTCATCCGTGAAATAAAAAACATGTGGCCAGGTAATGGGTTTAGCAGGGAAATCACTTTTTCACATAGAAGAGCCTGGTTGGTTTGCATAGCTTAATCAAGATGAATAAATATTAATTTACCTTGACTGCGAGTGCCACTTATATCGAATCCTTTTTCACAGAACTGTAGATAAAGTCACTATAAAAGGTTCTTGCTATTTTGTTCTACAAAGGGCAACAGCATTAAGTTTTAATCTCTAGTGCCACAGAAGAAATCACGCCCAGTGAATCCAGCTTCCTTTAAAGTGAAACCTTAAAATAAACCGTTCAAAATTAAATGCCGCAAACCTGCTGTTGGTTATTTTAATAGCCCTTCTGAAACGCTGCTTTTCAAGCAATAAAAATAAAAAGATGCGCGGCACTTGGTTGTGGTGGTCCTCTATGTCTCGTCATGCACCGCCGTACCACCCCTAATGTGAGCGTGTAGCGGATGTTGTGCTGACGCTGTGAAAGTTTGTGTTTGCAGAATTGCCCTATAAAAAAAAAATAAAAATCAGATTCCTTTGGGAGTTTCTTCCTGGCTTTTTGCAGGCTTTAATAGGTCTGCTGCCAAAGGGGACAACATCCAGCTTGATGAGAACTTCATATTACTTTCTTCTGCACTTGGGTGTTCTAAAATTATACTACAAAACAATCAAACTGTGCACATCTGTACTTGATACGTGGTATATCTATACCAAATTCAAGTTCTGGATTTGATTTCATTATACGTCGTCTCGCTATTCTGCAACAGTATGTATGAAAGCAGTTTGTGTAGATTATGAAAAAACGAGAAATGTGAATGGGAAACGAAAAAGAGAACACATGCAACATTATGAAAAGTTACTGGATCTGTGATGAGAAGACAAAAAGCCTTTTTCTTTCAAAGAAGCATTAAAAACTGAATGGAAAGGTTTTGTAGAATGAGAGAGAGCAAACGCATAATGGAACAGGAAGTCAAGACTGAGTATAATTAGCCAATTTGAAGGCATATTTTTGTTTCAAAGAGTTATTTGGTAGTTACAATATTTGGTAGGTTGCTATATATCAATGGTCAGTCGTTTATTTTTGCATATTTTTAACATATCTTGACTTGAATGGAGTTTAACTTCTCTGAATGTCCAAACCTGGTTTATTTTCTTGGTGGCTGAAATCCTAGAGTCCATTGATGGTGTCACTACGTAAACAGGGTAAATTTTAATTGCTATCGGATTCACAACTTCCAGCAATAATATCACAATTCAGTATTTTCCTAAAATTGTGCAGCCCCAGTTGTTAAGCGCCACTCAAAAGAAGATCTCCTTGGGTCCTTTTCAAAACTGTTAACACATATGTGCCAAATTTCATGTGCTAACCTGAATTTTAGGCTGTTCAGATGATTGACAAGTGGAACTGCTGTCTGCTGAGGCGTGTATTTCTTTGCCAAACACAGGCGTTGACAGGTTGGCTTGGTGCAGATTTATCTGGCCAAATTTAATTGGGTCCTTAAATGGCGTTCGGCTGCATTTGGGAATCATTGTTTAACCTCCTGAGACTATCGCCACGGAGGCGATGGAGAAAATGCTGAGAAGATGTGGAGACTTTGAAGTTTTTCTGTGTAGAGACAAATTGTTCAGCAGATGTATTCTTGTGTCTTTTCTTTGTGCCAGGTTTCGCTAACAAAATCAATCTGACATTTATGTTTCATGCCTAAACCTATGATGCTATTTAACACAAAACAAAACAAAAAACATGATTTTCTTTTAGATTTATTGACCTTCTTTGTTCCTCCTGTAGCAGTCTGACACAGTTATCTCATTAAGCAGCTCATTCTCTTGCTGTCACGACTGTGGAGTTTGCCCCTGTTGTCAAAAACAATAAAAACATTGGGTTAAGACACCACCTCCCCAAGTTGTCCCACAACCAGTGTAAACAATCTGTACATGGAAGCTAATAAGACCACATCCAACAAACTAACAAGATGGGAGACAAGAACAACATCCCGCTGCCCTGTTTTGCATTCTGCAGGCTGAACAAGCTGACAGCTTGCATTCTGATAGGGGGAGCATATCTACATATGGCCTCTTTTATTGTTCTTGCTGTATGGTAGCATTCCAGCAGTGTGTGCTTTTCTGCAGTAATGTATTTTTCCAGGTGCTCTTCTCCTCACCATGGTGTGCTGGTCCCCCAACATCTGACACAGACCTGTGAGATGAAAACTGCAGGCTGCAGGGGAAGCATCACGGAGCTTGTTGTCAGCTGGAGCAGTTAGTTCATCCATTAAGCACTGAGACAGGACAGATTACTGGAGTCCATGTCTTGAACACCTCCTTTTGCTTTGAGTGGGTAAATATGTTTTGGGGATTTTTCCCATCTCCCAAAACAATTCTAATTAGATGGAATAACTTTCTATGGCGACATATAGATGGAGTGCCATTTTTTATTTTTTACTTTCTGTTGTGTGCCACATTCATTTACTTTCACTCCATAACATCAGTATTGATTTTGTTTATATTGTGTGGAGGGTTAGCTGCATTGTGATGCTACAACAATTCAGAGAAACCTTGTAGTTCAGTTATTTTCAATTCATTCTTGAATCATTTTCTAGCAGAACTCTCAAAAAGAGACCCAGGATTTAAGGTTAAATGTATCTGAACATGATATGGCTGTCTTCTCTCTGTGATGCCTATATGGCATTTCTTGAAAGCATGTCTGTGATGGAGCTGGAAAGGCCATTCTATCCCTCTTGTGTAAAAGCGAAAAACATACTTTTTGACGCAATTTTTATGTGAGTCATAAGAGACTGACACATTTGTAAATGTGTAAGGAAGTGTTCAGTAGTTTGGGACCAGCATCTCCTTGTCTGTCCTTCAAATTTCTTTCTAGACGTTGTTTTTCTAAAGCGGTTTCTGTATGACGCTTAAACACTCCACATGTAATTCTGAAAACATGGAATGGAAACATGCCTTCCTAATATTCAGTTTATTCTGTAGATTGAGGTAAAAAGTGCTTTGTGTTTTGTTAGAGCCTCTGCACCAAAGGAGGCTTTAAGAGGTGTGAATTGATGGAGGTGGAATAAAAAAAGGCGAGGCTTGTTTTGCGTGCCAGACTGATTATGAACGTGCGTTGAATTTGGAAAACAAATTACGGCCCACCACACTTTGTCCCAGCTGACACTGCGGGTGAGGTTAGGCAAACTAAGGATGGGTCATTGCTGACACAGTGTTGTGCATAAATACATTCATGGCTGGAGCTCAAATTTTTTGAGAACTTTAAACTGAACAATGCTTTTTGTTAACGTGACAAATGTGAAGTAAGCACAGCTGATCTAGAAGTCATACAGTAGCCTTATGTTTGGGGATGAGAGAGAGATTTGCAAAGTGCTTTTAGGAACAGACTTTGCATATTTTATTCAGAACGAACAGCAGGATTTTTTCTTCAGGTGAGCGATGAGGAAATGCTGTATGTCTGTATGTGAGCTCATTGGCAGTCCTTTCATTTGTAAGCTTTATTTCAGACAACATGTTAGTTGACTGATTCAAATTGGAGCTGTAAGACG